TATAATTTGCTTTAAACCAGAAATTGTTGAAATTCAATGGTAATGAGGTAAACTGAGCTGTGCAGTGGAGCAGGGGGGGGGAGTCATGACGCATGACGCTGAGTTGTCAGGAACACAGGGTTGTGGGGAGATACAGGGGGTGGTGGGTAGAGGGCTTAGGGGATGAGGCTTTGCACAAAACTTTTGTTTGGGTGGAGTTGCCATTTTTCCTCCCTGCTGACTCTTTATGCAAACCAGAAGCAACCAAGCAGAAATCTGGCTCCACACTGACAACTCATCATTTAATTCCTGACTTTTGGAGTGTGCACATTTTAATAAACTCTTGCATACTGGGACACTAGACAAGCGCCTTAAAATGAGATTGGAGACAGTGGTATCCGTTTTCTCTAAACTCGTATAAACCGCTGGAGTTTGACTTGCCAAAATTAAACTTTCGGATGATGGTTGAAGTTAAAAATGTCATCTTTGCCAAACCTGCATCCAAACAACTGTAACAGAGATGTCCCAAAAGAGACATCAACTGATGAAAGATATGGCACTAATATCCTACCATCTGCTCAGCCTCCGAGTACGTCCATTAAGAAGACAGATATTGTAGCTGAATACAATAATGTGCCATCAAGACAAACATTCTACCATTTACGTAAAGCACAGGAACCACAACATACTGCAGTTGTCAAACTCAAACTTAAAAATGGCAAGCTAACAGGCAACCAGGAAAAGCCATGTTTACAGAGTTTTGAACTTCACCAAGCAGCCTCAGGGCAGTTCACAGAGTGCATCAGTAATACCCCTTCCTCACACAAACACAGTGGATGATACGGTACATTGACCACAGGTTCAACCAGAAGTTGACCATTCATTCCACACCACTGGGTAAATGCTAGATTGTCGCGGTTCACACAACCCACATCTGCCCAATGAAGTTCCCGCTACTGTGTTTGGTGCAAACACGATCAAATACAAGTTTAACTCCAGTTTCAAGCATATTTTTTGATCAAGATAGATTCATTCATTTTGCAAAAAAATGGAAAGTTAGGGTTCTCTCCTGCTGGGTGTGTTGAGATACACATCACGCTCCCCTAATGTCTGGCATTTGAATCTGTACGGAGGATTGTCTGGTGTATTTTTCTGCAAATAAAGGGATTTGTATCGGGCATTATCATGCATCTAGCCGACAATAAGGCTCTGCTTGAGAAAAAAACACCTCCACTCTCTGTTTATGTCAAATCATGCAATTATAATGTCAAGTCATAGAAATTAGTTTTTTAATATTGTGGTACCACATGTTTTAAAATGTCCCTTATAATAACAGAAACAAATACAATTTATAAAATAAAGATTTTCCAACATAATAATCTAACATTGTAATAACTTCCACTTCTAATACTTGTTGTGTTTGTCTGTCGTCTTATATTACTGTATATTTTATTGTATCTTCTTTTTAAAATATCATAATTTCAGTGAGACTAATATGTCTACTCATATGCCACTAAATATGATTGGAAACAGCAGCGCATGCTGTAATGATAAGAGCATACAACAACAAACAGCTTCACCCGGCACATAGCTACTGTAATGTACAATATGACCAACTGGTGTTTGATGAGCCAAGTGATGAAAAAAGGAAGGCGACCGACACAAAAAGCATTGCCTGTCTGAAATCGCTACCTTGCACTTACAACAGCTGTTTGTATAAACTGAGGTTACCGAGCACAAGAATAAACCACCTGTCATCTGCTACGGCTCAGCAGCAGCAAGAAAGGGAACACAGGCAACAAAAAAACGTAATAAGCAATGTCTCCACAACTTCAGCACTGGCTCGGACTAAAATATAATTCATTGCAAATGCATTTCAACTGTCTTAAGAGCGGCAGACTGCCTTGAGGGACTGACTCTGATAATGGATTTTTAAGCCCTCCGTGTGGCATGTCTCTGCTCTGTGTTAGCACCCACTCTGACAGGGGTGTTCAAAATAACCCGAACCCAAAAGAGTAATATTTCAGCTAACATTTATACTTTCTGAAAGTGTGAGTTGAAACTAAATCTTTCCATGCTGACTATTGAGTGGGTATGTAATATCTCTACGTCTCCTCTACTTCTACATCATTGAATGTGCTGATTCCTATCATTTCTTTGACATGGTTTAGCCTGAGCTAATGGTCAGCAATGAGAAAAAAAAAATAGTTAGAGTCCACGTGAGTTCGCTTACACATGCATGTATAACCCTTTAATTAAATATAACACAGTATGTCCAAGGGCTTGACGTGGAATAGAATCTGATAAACAATCCAATGCTTATTATCATATACTCATTCATATTTTAAACACACTCTCTGCTACTTTCCACCTCTGGGTCTAATAAAGAGACTTCCCGTTCAATTTCAGTCTCCAGCCCCTGTATATAATACAAATGCTGCTACCACTGTGGAAGTACATAAAACATGGTCGGGACCACTGTTACATATGTCATTAGAATTATTTTACAGATATATATTTCACACGATGCAAATCATGTAGAAATGCTAGCATGACTACACGTGTATTTACAGTAATACAACAAACCCCCCATGTGATATATTGTTAGTTTGAATAAATGCCAACATACTGTGGAATGAGTTAAATTAGACACAGCATTTTAGTGTGATGGCACAAAAAGTACGTCTTTGGACATTATCATAAATTCAAATATTCCAACATTAAAATGTTGCATTCACAAAATTGGTGAGAAAATCAAATAATGCCACTCATATAGGCTACGGACTTCTTTACTGGGGAAATAGACTAAAGTGTTGCAACCTTTACAATGTCACGAAACAGAACAAGGCATTAGCTGCAAGACATCCGTTGGAGTGACACAGTGTACCATCGCTGTTCATGCATAATATTAATACATTATCCATGTGGAGGTGCTCGGTCGACACATAAGAGGAACCCCAAACAACTGCAAAGACCTAGGGTTATTATAAGGTGTTGTCATATTAATAGTAACAAAATGGCAAACATACCGTCGACAGGTTTGGGGCAAGAGGCAATTACCACTATATGTGGACAAAGACGTATCTTAGTCATAAATAACAGCCACAAGCTACTAAATATGTCAAGGGTGGAAATTGTCTTGCTTTTGATGAAAGATGGGGACGATGAGTCAGGTTTATTAATATGGACTAGTTGGCATGGTAACACAGTGGGAAGTAAATGGTGGAGGATGAGTTGCAGAGGGCATGTGCAGAAAAACTTCATCTGTACAGAAAGTGCTGAAAATGTTACAAGCGCTACAAAAGGTATTTAGTTACAGAGTCTATTCGCTTTGGACCACAGTGTCAGCAATGCTAAACATCATTTGGGATAAGTGTCAGGCCGGCACGTTTTCATGAATATTGTAAATAGACGGTTTTGTAGAGTAGATCCCTTTCTTTATTTCAGTTAAAAGATAAGGAAAAAAGAGAGAAAATGAGGACAATTGCCTTATCAGTGTTTGTCTTTGGTATAGACACAAACAACGAAAAGACCAGTCAATTTATAGCCCTGTCTAAGCTCTTAATGAGCAGGCAACTGTCCTCCAGCAATTGAGATGGCTCATCAATTTAATTACTTTACAACCCAGGCCCGCCCCACGCTGTCAAAAAGCCTCGCATCTGAAGTTTCCAGTCACCCTGTACTTGTAAATATGCCAGGAGAAAAGCTTTATTGCACAGCTGTTTACAATGTCACATCTAAAATCAAACTAAGGTTTATGAATAAAGGAGAATCTCTATCAATAAATCCTGTATATTAAACACGCACAATAGAAGCATATTACAAATTACATCATCACTGGTGCTGTTGTCACTGGACTACTTCCTCTTTATGAATAAGAGCCCCATTATTGTCATCACAGACAACTCATACACCTTTGTTTTTTCTAAGGGCAATTTCTGTCTTTTCTCTACATTCCAAGAACCAAATGGGTAAGAAGTAACTGTAACAATGCCACATAAACCTTAACCAGACTAAAGCAGACAGTATTATGCTGTCAGAGTCTGTGTACAATGAATACAGGGGCACGCACCACAGCAGTGTGAGTCATACCGGCTTGTAACCATAGTGTCCATACATAAACGAAAGAGTCCACGGTAACACCCAAGCATATACTATTTATGGCACATAAACTGTTATAGATTGCTTGCAAATATCACAAACGCCATATTAGGCTGTAGCAGATGGCATGCAAATGTAATGAGTGGCATTATCTTGGGAAAGAAACATTAAAAAGGAGGTGATTATGTAAATGAATGAGTTTCAGTCTTTTAGCTGCAAAGTCCAGCATTAACTACTGAGCAGCAGAAGCACTGATCATTATTTAACAGCGTAATCATTATATGTTGGCAGGCTTTATTTGTTGTTTGTTTCATTAACTGTTCAGGCAATTGGCTATTGTTATGGGTCTCCTTATTCCGATTCCTCAATTTTCGATTGTGCACGAAACCTTTGGGAAACTTTAGGTGTGCAGTTTTTCCTACAGTACATGGAACGTGACAAGCTTGAGTGCCAGCATGCCCAGACAGCATATCTGCAGCTCCTGTGCCAGACTAAAGGCTTGAATCCTGCATTACTAGTGTGTCTATAGTCTGCTGTGCCACTGAAATCGGTTGTCAACACCCTCTGAGCTCCGCTAGCTAGTTAGCTCCAGCTCAGCGCCAGTTCAGCCGAGAGCAGGCTGATGGATGAAAAGTGTAACTACCAAGTCTTTTATCAGTAAGTATGTCTAGCCCCCCACACACACAGCCCCTTACTCCCAATAGCAATTTATTTACTGTACATTCGTTTATTACAGATATTATACATCTAAACCAACCAATTATTAAATGGTAAACACAAACCCTGGCATTGCATTAATACAGTTAATGTAATTAGTCCTGATTGAAACCATAAATTATACTATTCACTTACTATATACAGCAAAGTGTTCATGTCAGCATGTTATTAAGAAAGAAAAGCAGACCTCTGCTTGCACTTACCATGCAGCCGGATGAGTCCAACTGTCTGTCGGTCACACACTTAAAGTTCTTCTTGCAACCACCGTTATCTTTGGAGCAGTCTCGGACCGGCCCAAACGATGCCAGTAGGTCCTCTACCGTCTCAAAGTAAGTAGACATGATGGCCTCTTCCCTGGAATGGAAGAAAACAAAAAGGTAAAACAAAACGGAAAATACCTTTTCATATGTTTTCACAGTGTCAATAGAGGCAGAAGTAATGAGAAGTGAAAATAATGCTTGAGCAGCAGAACATCGTTCACCACGTGGAAAGCCGTCTCTCATTTAGCAGCTATACATGCTTGTACATAATGTGACAGCGTTGTGGTGTGTTGGTGCCTTTCCAGCTGCAATTAACAACTACTTGCTGATGTTTGAAACTCGCGTTGTATTTTGTAAAAAATGTACAAACGCTGACAATAACAGAACTGCTATTGAATTCATCAAAGCATTCTTTATCAACGTGACAGGTATCCTCTGTGAGCTCGAGTTTCATTTCGTGGCTGGCAGTACAAAGGCGAGCCTTACAAAACCCAATCCAATAGTAGTTCAAAACCGACGTACCCTAGGGCTCGTGTTGTGCTGTACCAGGCGTATAACATTTTTTTAAAGCAGCTGTTGTAAAAGTTTCACTGGAGTGAATGTGCCTGCAGGGGTTCGTGCTGGTTCACGGTGGGTCATGCCTGGGACTAATCGGTGCATCGGTATTAATTGGACTTGTTTGTCACGGTGTGTTGTTGGAGAGCCAAGGGAATCATCACTCTGCATCGACTAACTCTCAGGACTCATCTTAAGGCCAAGGCATCCCGGCCCGCCCTCGCTGGCAATGTTGAAGGAGACAGCAGCAGAGCAAAAAAAAAAAAAAAAAAAAGTATGCATACACATTCAAACACAAACAGAGGCAATAAGAGGTCAAATTAATGTATTCCTCATTTCTTCTTTATTTGACTCGTTTATGTTATGTATGTTGTAGTTGTTTTTACATAAAGGATAACATTATAATGACATTTTTCATTAGTGAAATTCCATGGAGGGCTAGATGTGTCTGCATTTTTATTAGATTTCCATAATAATAAAACATGATTTAAATGACATTTATTGTTAATTTATGTCGAAATTAGCAATGGATTCATAAGAATAATAAGAGTCTACAGGCTAGCAGCTCTGTGAGGCTGTATTTGGGCATAGCAGTGAATTAAACGCAATGACAATGTTAACATGTCAATGTTTAGCAGGTAATGTTTATCACGTGCACCATCTTAGATGAGCGTGTTCGTGTGCTAACATTTACAATTATCACCTAACACAAGGCATGGCTAAGGCTCATGGGAATATCATTAGTTTTGCAGGGATTTAGTAATAAACCAAAGTACGGGACAAATTCAAATTATGACCTGCTGTTAGATCCTAGATGAAAAATCAGGGAATAACAAAGCGATTACAATTCCTCCTGGAAGGGACATGACTGTGTGTGTGTGCCAATATATTTGGCAATCCATCCAATTGTTGCTGAGACATTTCACTCAAATACGCAAATGTCAACCTTGTGGTAGAGCTGTAGAGAAGGTCAGGGGATTACAAAAGTCAGTCGGCTTCATCTTCTGGGGACAAATACTGTACAGTATTTGATATATTTGAGTCTAGACCAACGTGTTGGACGGACCTTCATTGCCAACCTTGGAGCCACAAAGCGTGGAGAAAATAATTAAATTCATGTTTTTAGTTCAGATTGAGATCAACAGATCCATTGACTTGTGTACAGCATGTGTGCGTTTGTGTGTGTGCGTGTGTGTTTGTGTGTGTCACTCAGCCACTGCCAGGACCATTTCTGTTTGAAATAAATCATTAGAAACAAAGGAGGAATCTGCCATTTCCAAATGCTGGATCGTTATACTTTCTTCTGAGAAATGTCAGCTTGACCACTGCTGTATAGCTCAGCCGCTGTGCTTACTTCAGCATGCTCAGCCATGCCCATACACTGAGCTCTGCATGCCTGCTGTCAGACTGAACGAAGGGGTAAGCAACCCCTGTGTTTTTCTTTGCAAAGAAACAAAAGCACCGTCTCTTGCAATGGTACCACGGGGACACAGTGTGCTGTGATGGTGACTCGCCTCTACAAACAGCAACACGATCTTGGATGATGTGAAGACAGATGCCCTGCTGAAAGAGGATTTTGGAGGATTGCCACTGTCACTGTTTTTGTGTGTCTCTTTTTATATGAACTTGGGTGCTTATGTGGCAATGGTACAGTAGTGAAAGGCCACAGAACCCACTAATATACATATTTATATTGTGGTTAGTTTGATTAAAATGTAAAAAAGTAACCTCTTTTCAAAGTGGATGTAAACCATTACAAAGTCATGTATTTTGCAATGTTTCTTCAATGAGCAAAGATGGCAAAGCCTGACTCTTATTGACTCAGTATTCCCTGTCAATTTTTTTTCTGCGTGAAAAGAATAAAAGTATAATAACCTTATTTCTGGCTTAAGGGGAAGATGAAAGGCAAAGTATTCAAATTCATTAGAAAAGGTAGGAACGCTCTGTGCACAGCATGGACAAAAAACCTTCACAATTCAAATATCATTAATACAAGCAGGGATGCATTGTGGGTAGATGTGGGCAGACACATAGCTCTCTTTTCATTTACAAATGACTTTCTGTTTTTACTCTTTTTCAGTGTCTGCCCATGTGTGATCAGCATTTGGAAAGCTCTTTAACACCTCACACTGTTTTCAGCAAGGGATTCTATATTTTAAGTTTCCATGTTCGATTTTTGACATATCAGCTATTAATTGGCACATCTTACTTGTGTGAGTGGAGAAGTATCAGGGCTCACAGACAGCACATAGGTACTGTCGGCTTTGCAAAATCAAACGTCAAATGTCTATCAAATGAGTCAAGAAAATCAATCCATCAGGCCAAAATGTGGATAGTCTTCCATTTGATTAATGGAGTTTTTTGTTTTGTTTATCGACCAAAGTATATGGTGGCCCTTTGGATATTTGACCTAAGCGTTATTAAATGCTACCTAATTCAATATTCCTATGTTCTATCTGATTTGAGTTTTCATTCAATGTGGAAATAAATGACATCAACTAAAAAGGAAAACATCATATTTTGCAATGCTTTTAGTCTGTTGACCACAAGCGGAAGCATGAAGTATCAACAATATATACAATGGAAATATTTCAATCATATTAGATAGCAGCCTCTTGGTTTAAACAATAGACTGGAGAATATGATTAAATATAGTAAAATATGTTATAATAATTTCAGCATCCTCTTCTGTTCACAGCAGACTAAATGTTTAACGGTCCCTAATATAAACTGGTGGTTATGGCGGACCCATTATGCATTAGTGGTATTGATGTCACCTAGTAATTCCCAGTACTGAAGGTTGGTGCAGAAATGCAACCTCTCAAAGAGACTATTCTTTTTTTCTGCAATATATTACAGTGTGCAGTTTTGCTGGCCACGCGAGCAGCTCTACTGTAGCAGAGCATGCCTGTCTTGAGGCCAAATAAACAGCTTTTACTAAACAGGGTGGGAACTTATCCTCGTGGTCAACCAGTCACAGCCGCTGGAGGATCTCATATTCATGTATTCACTTATATTTATTCAGCCCAGTTTAGGTTAGCATTATAATGATAGCCACAGGCTATGTGAACTGAAACTCCAAAATAAAATGAGAATACCCCAACATTTCAGCAAAGTTTGTTTTCCCATATTTTCGTTGACAGTTGGTAGAGTAAAGGTTTATTTTTCCCACTAGCCAACCTTGTGGAGGAGCTGACTGCTTTTTTTCTCAGTCTAATTCTTTTGATCACTAACCAATGTTCAGGTGTGTGGTCCGGACACAGACTGACTGGAAAATCAAGATCTTTAACTCATGTCTTCACTCTGTTTTCATAACCATGGTCTAATCCGGCACTTATTTGCTATTAAAGGCTGCTGCTCTCTCCTCCTGGGTGGTTCAGGCTCATGGCCAACAGGCCTCAGACTTCGGGATATTGATATGTCACATTGTCACACTCAGCTACAAACTCTCCAATGTACATCAGAGACCATTGATCAGATACGGAGCAATGAAGCTGGAAGCCAACATCACCCAAATACAACGGAAATGCAGCCCTATCATCACTGAACCGGACAAACCTCAGCTGTGCCTTAATGAATTTCAGAAACAGCGCAGGGGACAGGGTGCACTCTTGTCATAGTCTGATGCCCACATGTGTTTGACTTAATGCAAAAAAAGGGAAACACATTTCCCTAGTGCATTGAAACCAAATGATTAACTTCTTGGGGCAAACAAGCTGGCAAACTGTTCCAGAGCCAAGGATCCTGCAAGCCAAAAGGTAGAGATCAGTGCAATAGCTACTGGGCAAAGGTCAGGGGTGGAACAGATGTATTCATTGTGGACCTGGGCGATGGAAACTTGCCCTTAGAACATGGAATCACTTTTTGGGGAAGGTGCCTGGTTTGGTGTGTGGAGTCGAGAGGTACCATACGGCACCAAACTTCTTGATAGATGGTGGACTCTCCTACTCAGGAATTGTCCATGGCGAGACGTGCCAGGCAGTTATGGGACTACTGACAAATCAGTGGCAGGCTGAATACACGCCTGAATCTGAGACGTGGGGGCTAAACACGACGCAACAGCAGCTGAATTGCATGTTTATTCAACAAAGTGTGTTTAAAATGGGACAAGCTTTAGGTTACGAGCACCAAATCCATTCTGCAATTTCTGACTCACACTTGCTTTTAGGACACCTAGTTTAAATAATTAATATAGACAGAGTGTTGCAAAGCAATGTGTCACCGATAATCGGACCACTCTTGCTGATTGGGCCAATTATCTACTTTGGTTGATTTGTCAGTATACTGTACGATCTTGAAGCAAAAAACTGTAGTATTTGTGAGGGTAATCTCTATAGCATCTGTTTTTCATACAGGTCTGTGAAACTTGCCCTTTCTCAAACTGATCCTGATTCACAACACCCGAAATCCCTAAAGTGTCTTTGGAGGGCACTCCGCATTAAGCGGGAGGATCAATAAACAGCCAAACAGTGGGATGCACTCTCGACACGCACACAGGAAGCAACAGTCACCCTGAATATTGAAAGACGTTTTCATTGT